AAGGGCTAGGTGAAAGAGGCAGTAGGAAAAAGGATGACAGGGTCTCGCCCAAAATCTAGGCTTTGATTAGATAAGCAAAACAAAAGAATCGTGTGAACTCAGGCAGTCCTCCTGGATTAGAGAAGAACCAAACATGTTTAAAAGGGGGGAAAAATGGAAACGTCACAGATTCTGAGACTGCAGTAGAAACAAACAGCCTATCTTGCTCTGATTCCAGCTCATTAGAAAATACATTTGTCACTGGAGAACACCAGGTATGTTGATGAGAGCTGGCAGAAAGGGACAGAAAGGCAATGCTTTGTGTTAGGGAGATAAATCCCAGTTCAACCACAGAGCTTCAACCAAGTACCAATAGGAAAACAACTGAGATTTAATGGTGGCAGTCCCAAGAATTCACATAAACATCCAGGAGTGGGGTGGCTGGGCTGTCACCCTAGCATGGATGACCTGGAAACTGGGGTTTCCTAACAACCAGTCTCACTGAGTCAGAGCACTCCTTCAGTGAAAGACACTTTATCAAGAATAAGGTAGAAAGTTTATTGCGGTAAATAAGGATCAGGATAAACAAATAGGCCGAATAGATGTTTATTCAGGGAGAAATAACTTACAACTTAGACAGATGAACACCAGGAATTCAGCCCGGCCCCCCCGGCCGGGGCCCCCCCGGAGGGCGCCTCCCTGGCCCCCTCCACCTCCACCAGGACACCCCGCCATCCGTGCACCCCTGGGTGGTCAGTGCTACAGAAGGACTATCTCACTACAAAAGTTATTAAAAAAAAAATCAGTCATTGACTGTTAGCTCCACATACAAGGACACACATGTGCATGTGCACACATACCTACACATATATACAAACATACACACACACACTCACACACACAGAGAGAGAGAGACACTGAACCCTTTAGAAAGCCAAGAGGAGAACGCATACTGAAATGTTGGCCCATATAATTATGAGGTAAGCTTTTTTTCTATCTGAGGATTGAACCCAGGGCTTTGCACATGCTAAACAAGTATTCCACCACTGAGCCCACATTCCCATTCCAAAATTACTCTCATACAACTACAAAACAAAAGAACAGAAAAATAACAATTTCAGGAAGGTTGAATGTTTGACCTGCTTGAAAAAAAAAAGCCAGTGTCTTGGCAGCATGGTCTGGGCATGTAGTATGTATCCCACAATAAATGGGAACTCTACCCAAACCTGGGGCATCTAGATCTTGGAGTGAAGCCTCCAAGCATTGTTGCATTTTACAAGAGTGTCTTGCATACATGCTAGTCTTACAAGAGGGTCTTGGATACATGCTAGCTCAAAACCCTCTGCATAAGAAATTACTAAAAGTAAAATACAGTTGTGGGTTTTAACAGCATGGACATGCTGAGAAGCATATCACAAGATGGTGCTCTGTCATGGCCCAAATGTCACACAGTGCAGGGAAACAAACTTAAAACAAAAAGTGGTCCATGGAAGTCACAGGATGTGGCCTTTGCTACAGGTAAGAGACGCTGTTAATTGTGAGGTGTCTTGGCTATTGCTGGAGTTGCACAATGTACCTTTTTACAACAAACTTTCTAAAAGTAGAAGTCCACTTTAAAATGATGTTAAACGCATAATTAATTAAATGCAAAATCCAGGCATCACAGTACTTTAAACCCATCACTTGAGAGGCAGAATCAAGCAGATCTCTGACAGTCTGAGGCCAGCCTAGTCTACGTAGAGAGTTCCAGGACAGCCAGAGCTACATAGTGAAACTCTGCCTCATAAATAAATAAGTAGCCCTCTGCATTCCCACTGGTACAATGAAGGTAACTGCCTCTCATCACACATTCTTCTCTGGGCACAGTCCTCAATTCAGGGGGTTTGGGTGATGAGGGATTAAATGTCTTCAGCACACAGAGAGAAATTAATTAGCACCTACCAAATGGATGACTATTTCATTCGCTGCATGAATTTATATTTTGCTTTTGTCACAGCTCGAAAAGCATGGAGCCACATCTCTGTAAAAATTAGTTCTACTCTACGGTTTCTCCTAAAGCTATAGAGTCACCCCCTTGGGCTGTTATTTGCATTATTTAACTTTTTTTTTTTTTTTTTTACTGAATTATCAAGTGAAAATCCAATCGTCCCTAATGGTGTTCACTATGTTTCCCATTCTCGTATATGAAAGGGTTTATTATCCATTTGTAGTAATTAAGGCACGGGTGTTATATAGATCCATAAAAATCCTTCATTAAGTCACTGAAGAGCTTTTCATCAAAATCATCATGGCCAAATATTTATTTAAAAATAAAATCCAAATTAAACTGAAGCACTCTCCACCAACATGGACACCAAAACCAAAAAACGCTTTGAGATAATATAGAGAGCAGTGGTGGGTGACCGCAGAGATTTCAAACGTATACTGTCTGACAGAACAGGAAGCAAGCCTAAGTGTCGGTCCATCGTGCCTGGCTATAAAGAAATGAAGTAATTAACCGTAGGAAATAATTCACCAAGATGTTAACAGTTTAATAACATTGAAGTATTTGCATTTCAGCATTATTGTTTCTAAATGGTTTCATAATTGTTTTAGATTTGCAAAAGGTGCTAATACAAGAATGAAATAAAGAGCAACATAAGATTTTGTGGATGGTACGATCAATTGGATGTGTTGTAAGACACGGGGGAGGGGTGGAGGAGATTTAGAAGACAGTCCTTTGCAAAGCAGTGAAAAATCTCAAGCTTCCTGAAGCTCACACACTTCCCAGCCAGGGAGAGAAGGGAGAACCCTAACAAACTCCTTCCGCAGAGAAAGAACCCCCGTGTTGCTATCTAGAGGCTGTCTATAGAACCATAGCTGAGAAAACAAAACATGTTGACTGAAACATAGGTGGAAAATTACCCACTCTATACCTCCTGGGGATGAAGATTTTATTAGAACGACTTTCTTGATTTCGTGGTACACACCTTTAACCCCAGCACTCAGGAGACAGAGGCAGGTGGATCTCTGTGAGTTCGAGACCAACCAGGTCTATATATAGAGTTCTAGGCCAGCTATGGATACATAGAGATAGAAACAACAACAACAACAAAAAAAAGCAAAGCAGAAGACATTCTTTATAATGATGTATTTTTTTAAATGAAAAGATCTCTATATTTGTTCATCAAAACATTCTACCCACAGCAGAGTCTCTCTGTGCCTTACACCATCAACCCTGGGGAGGAAGCAAGGGTCATTTCCATTTTCTACCCAACACCAGCAATGTTCCTCTTACAGGGCTCCCAGGATAGACTTGGGGCTCAGGAGTTCACATAAACATTTAATTTTAATATCCTCTCTTAATTTATTGAAGTCTTTAGCAACATTTCCAATGAGACTGAAGACTGAGAAATGCCATAGGGCCCTCTTTTGTGGCTGCATTTATGAACATATTGGCACCAATTAACATAACTTCAATTGACACAGGTTAATGAGAACCAATAATAATGGCCATCTTCAGATGAATATTATATGGGAGCCAAATAAAAGCAATATGGCCCTGCAGAGTACCCCGGGACAAGGTTCCCTAGTAGCACATGTAGACAGACATTCTGAGAGAAATGAGCCACATTCCAGGTTATAGATTCCAGTCATAACAAACGAAGCAACAACTCACCCTACAATAGTCAGCCCCAAATGCTCATTGCAAGTAGCCATTTGATTTCAGCAAAATAACTTCATTCTGACTTTTCAATTAACATTACAAGTTTGAATTTCAGTAGGTTCACTGCTTTGTTTATACATAGCTTACAAATTTGTGCTGATATTACAGTTGTATAGGGGATATGAGCACTGAGATCTAAAGTAGGATTTCTCAGGCACAGCACTATTAAAATTTGAGGCTGAATAAATGTCTGCTGTGGGGAATGCCCAGTGCATCATGGGATAGCTAGCAGCATCGCTGGCTTCTGGTCACTAGATGCCAACAGCACACACCACAACCCACCCCTACTTATAACAATCAACCATGTCTCCAGATTTTGCCAAATGCCTGCTGGGGAACAAAATGAATCCCTGTCTTAAACCACTAGACTCAAGCAGGAACTAGAGGAAGCCCTCAGGTTAGAAGTTCAGGAGTTTTTAATGTGGAAAGTATGTACAAATGACAGGGAAAATTGTAAAAACAGGATTAGGGAAGATGCAAGAAGGGAAAGTAAGAGAGTGTGTTAGAGAGTGGAGGGCTCTGGAGAAGAAAGAGGTGGGTATGAGAGCAAAACTCTGCATCCGAGGGTATCCTGTCAAAAACAGGTTTGTCAGCAAGAGGTGCTATAGAAATTGATTCTCTGAGTTCATCCTTACTCAGAAAAAGAGCTCTTACCATTGGCTAACACACCAGAAGCCAGAAGACACAAGAGAACCCAGCCACAGGGTTCAGATGGACCAGTCTCCCAGAGTAAAGGAAAGGGCTATAATATAACAGGTGAGTGGGCAAACAGCAAACATGCACTCCGATTCTGAGAACTCAAGAAACAATACAATGTAAAAATCAGCTCTAAAGGTCCATTAAGCAAATTTCACTTAAATGTAGCTTGCCTCTGTATACATCATCCAAGTTGGTAAAACTGGGTCCTAGAACCTGTGCACCATTCCTACCAGAACTAACCACCGTCTTCCCTGGCCACTTATTGTTCATGTTTTCAGCAAATGTGTATTTAGTGCTGACTGGGCTCACAGCCCTAAAGTGTGTCTAAACAGCTAAAGAATGAACCAACCATACAAAATATTACATGAGTCTCCCATCCCTATAGGGAAATGACTAAGGTGTATGGGACAAAGAAAGTGTTCTAGCTTGAGGACAGAGTCACTGAAGTAACTTCAATGTTGGTGAAGTCACATAGAGTGTACCACTTGTTGCTTTTTGTCTGTTTTTGTTAACTTGACACAAGCTAAAGTTATCTGAAAAAATGGAACCACATTTGAGATAATACATCCATAAGATTGGCCTGTAGGAAAACATGTAGAATTTTCTTTTTATTTTAAAAAATACGGAATGCTTGATGAATTTGTGTGTTATTCTTGCCTAGGGGCCATGCTAATCTTCTCTGTATCATTCCAATTTTATCATATGTGCTGTCAAAGCAAGCATTGGAGTATTTTCTTCATCAGTGACTGATGGTGGAGGGCCCAGCCCATTGTGGGTGGTGCTATCCCTGGCAGGTGGTCCTTGGTGCTATAAGAAAGCAGGCTGAGCAACTCATGAGGAGCAAGCCCGTAAGTAGTGTTTCTTCATGGCTTCTGCCTCACCTCCAGTTTTGAGTTCCTGCCCTGATTTCCCTCCATGACTGACTGTGACTGGAGAGTTTTTAGATGAATAATAAACACTTTGCTACACCAAGTTGCTATTGGTCATGGTGTTTTACCACAGCAATAACCCTAACTAAGACATGTGGCTTTGTTATCATCTATGCAGTTGTGTCTGAGATTAACAGCACAAGTAGTCCACACCTCACTGAGGTGTCTCTCTGTTATAGCTCCACAGGAAGTCCCCATTCCCCAAAAGGAGAGAGCAGTAAATAACTTCTTTATATCCACCATCCCCCTCCACTTAGAAGGAACACTAGTAAGAAAGGACCAGTCAACATCCAATGGACCACCAAGACACTCAACATGGAAACAGAATTCTTGCCAAGCACAATGGTTGCATGGGCCACTGGCCCTTTCTAGTAACTTGGGGCCAGCTGCTGGCCAGCCTGCCCAGGTTCTCATTTCCACGTCCTGGTTTTTCTTCACATAATTAAATATGGAGCTCAAAGTCATATGAATCCCAAAGACACGTGTAGAAAGGGAGAGAAATGCCCATGCTGTAAACTCACCTGAGCCCATGGGCTCTCTCTAGTTTGGGGCAGGAAAGCAATATTAGTGAAAGCCAGTAATTAGAGGTAGGTGGGAGCCGCATGACCCAGGGTTGCTTCTCTGTTTATTCGATCACCTCTCAGAGCAGGTAGACTCAAAACAACCAGGTAGCACTCAAGACCATCTTGCTTTCTTGTCTTTGAGACCACCATCAAGAAACTTCAATGTCATGTGCTTATACTCAGTCTTCTATGCTTGGAACAATAAACTCCCTTTAGAAAGTACAGGACACGATGCTAAATGACTCCCAAGGCACAGAACATGTGCTATCCTGCTAGTATTGGACTCTCAAGAGAGACTTCAGGTGAGAATGTGCTGAACTAGAAAGCATGGGATTTTATTGCTGAAGGCAATGATGGTTCTCCAGAAAAACAGAGTAATAGGAAAGAGAAGAAGGAGGGAGGAAGAGAGATTGGGGGGGGGGGACTGAGACTTGATTTCAAGGAATTGGCTCATGCACATGAGGAGGCTGACAAATCTAAGAGCCACAGGACAATCCAGCAAGCTTGAGGCTCAGGGACAGGGGATGCTGCAATTGAAACCCAAAAGCAACTGTCTAGCAGAGTCTCCCCTTTTACAGGGAGTCCCTCTTCAGCTAATTAGCTGAAGCCCATCCGCATTAGAAAAGCCTTAAAGTGGTTAAAATGTTAATCTCCTCTTTTTAAAGAAATGCCTTCATCTAAAAGAACTCTTGACCAAAGATCTGAGTACCATGGTCTGGTCACACTAATACATTAAATTTATCAACACAGCAAAGTGGAGGCAACAGGAAGTGTGGGGTTTTGAGAATTACAAGGCCAAGTGACAAGAGCCTCTCCTAGAATGTTCTCAGAGCACTCGCTACCCTGAAATGGACATGTTGTAAAGAAGCCACAAGGCAGCCAAATGTGAAGAGACCAAATGAAGAGAGATATGCCTGGCCCATCCCCCACTGTGCCAGCCAACCAAGCTTAGGTGCCAGGCATGGGAGAAGGAATCCATCTCAAGTGCCAGGCCCTACGGAAGCTTCTGAGGCTTCCAGCCCTGGCTGCACTAACATACAATATTTCCAGTGACAATGGCCCAGCTTGGCCAGTTGCCCCACAGATCTGTGACCAATCTTCATGGACTGCATTCCAAGCCACTAAACCTGAGGGCGGTGTTATACAGCAACAAGCAAACAGACAGGAACTCGTGAAATGTTAACGAACACCTAAGGTATGCGTTAAATTTAACTTCACACATATGCACACTGTCTACACCAAAATATTTTAAGAACATGACAGCCAAGATAACCCTCCTGCCACATTCTCTCTTTCCATATTTAGCCCAGTTCGCTCCTTGTATCCGCTCATAACAGGTTCAGGATGTGGAAGGAGGGGAGGAGCACTAAGTAAGAACCCTATCTGCCATGGAAACCCACGTGTCTCCTCCAGGCAAGCAATTCAGGGTTTGCTGGGTTCTGCCAGCCAACAGCAGTGGCAGTCATGGTGTGGAGGTCTGGACACAGCTGTGATGCCTTGAGCAACAAAGGTAGAATGAGCCCCTGATCCCTTTGTGTTCGGTGCTAACAGGAGAGTGTCCAAGAGTCCTTTCCTCAGGGCAGAGGTGATCATGTGGGGAGCCCCCGAGTCAGGGTGCACAGAGAAATCAGATTTCATGGTTTTTCTCTCTCCTGGATTGAGCTCTCCCTACCTGGCTCTTCATTTCATCAAGATTACTATCCCCAGGGCACCCACTAAACACACACACACACACACACACACACACACTGAGCTGGCCTTTCTGAATTCCTCCTAGACTCGATCTGGAAAGCTTGCTCCAGCTAAATGAATTGGTGGTGAATACTGACAATCTAACAGATTAATCAGTAGAACAGAGTGACCCTGGAGTCACAATTTAAATTTGTTTTTAAGGAAGAGGCTGACGGCTGCCTTTCTGAAGAGCAGGGTTACCAACTCTGGGCTCTCAGCAGGGTGATATTCAAAATATTTAACAACTGCATGCATGATGTGAGCAGCAGCAGACAAACAAGTGAGGGAAGAGGGGTGAGTGGGATAGAGGTACTCCCCCAGAAAGGCAATGGCAGTCCTGGGAATGAAAGTCTTACCACTACCAGAAATATACAGTTTTCCCCCAAAGAGGCTCTAATAGGATTTCTTTACGAAATCCCTCAGTATAAATGTTAGCAATTAATTTGAATTTTTACCCCCCCCCAAAGATAAATTTTTTTATGCTCTGTCATATGAACATTTGGGATTTCTATGTTGAAATTTTCAGGCTCTTGCCAGACGTGGTAGAGCAGGTCTGTAGTCTCAGATCCTAAAGGGGTTGAGGCAGGGGACTAGCAAGATGATTCATTGAGTGAGTAAGGCTGCTTGCTCTCAAGCCTGACCACCTTAGTTCAATCCCTGAGGTCCACAAGGGGAAAGCAGAAAACCAAATAACGTAAGTCGTATTCAGACCTCCACGTGGGCTCTATGACATATGCACAGTCGTGCAAAATAAAAGATTCAAAAGCAAAAAGAAAGAAAAAAATGTGGTGGGGATATGACTCCTGGTAGAACACTGAGTGCTAATATTCAGCAAGCCTAGGATTCCACCCCAGTACTGCAAAGAAAAGAAAAGATTAAAAAAAAAAAAAAAAAAAAAGACAGTAGGAAAGGAAGGAGGGAGAGAGGAAGGGAGGAGGAGGGAAAGGAAGGGAGGAAGGAAGGAAGGAAGGGAGGAAGGGAGGGAGGGAGGGAGGGAGGAAGGAAGGAAGGAAGGAAGGAAGGAAGGAAGGAAGGAAGTCCCCACACACACCCCCACTTCCCTCAGGATATGGTAGTACAATGTGTGGCTTTGGAAAAGTGTCTATGTGAACTCGTCATTCTCATGAGTAGAATCAGGCCCATATAAAACTGGCCCTGGCCCTGGCCCTGGCCCTGGCCCTGGCCCTGGCCCCTGGCCCCTGGCCCCTGGCCCCTGGCCCCTGGCCCCTGGCCCCTGGGCCTTGCCCTTGGCCCTTGGCCCTGGCCCTTGCCCTTGCCCTCACAGTACACAGTAGATAGAGACTAGACATCTCTGATGCTACCAAGTTTCCAATCTTCACTGACGCCCTTAAGGGAAAGTCGGAAATTCCTTGGATCAAATGGTACAAATCACCCTTGAGTCATTTAGAGAACTTTGTCATCATGACCCAGAGGCAGTCACACTTTGAGAGGATGAGGCTGGATGTCCCTCCCTCTTACTGAGAGATAGTCAAAATGGGAAACCAAAATGAACTGCAGACTCTAGGAACTTCCTGAGGTCCGGAATTCTCCTCCCCAAAAGTCTATGTTGGAGAAAGCCATCAGGGAAGACTGTGATGGGCCAGGTGGGTTCTACTAATGTAATTCTTCAAAGAGAATGTTAAAATAGTGGGCAACGCCTGGTCTGTAACACTGCCAACTGCAATCCTTCAGCATTTGTGTTTGGGGGAGGGGCAACCAATCACATGGAAGAAGCCCTAGAAATAGGTTTATGATGGCAAACACAGACCCTAGATCAGCCAAATGCCCCTGCTCCAGAATACAAGCAGTACACACGGACCTGAGCAGCCTTGGCAGCCACACCAGTAATATCAGGAGCCACAACCAGACTCCTTCCCTCCTGGCCTGGTGTTCAGAGGTCACCTTTCAGAGTGAGTAAGTAGGCAAGACTGTGAGCATGTGATGTGTGGTAGCATTAAGGTACTTTGGGCTTGGTGTAAGATGAATCCTTAAATTCTTAGTTTTGAACAAGGGATTCTGCATTTTCATTTTTGTATTCAGCCCTGAAAATTATGTAGCTAGGCCCCCTGAGGTGAAGACAGAAAAAACAAGCCAGTCCTGCAGTGGGGAGATGAGATCTTAAGAAGTTGATACAAGGTCAGGCATGGTGGTGCACACCTTCAATCCCAGCATCTGAGAGGCAGAGGCATTAGGATCTCTGTGAGTGAGTCTGAGGCCAGCAAGCTCCACGTGATGAGTTTCAGACCATCGATGGCTATAAAGTGAGACCCTGCCTCAAAAGGAGGAGGAGGGAGAGGAGGACTACAAGGAGGAAGAAGTTGATGGCAGTGGTGGTACAGTCCATCCTTCATGGTGGTATGCTGGACAAACTTGCCACAAATGCTACATTAGTGAATACGGGAGCCTTTGTGCCTAGGGGAAACAGAGTTAGGACCCTACAATGTTGTGATCCAGCCATAAAATTTTCATGAACTGATCAATACACATCCTTATTTT